GGATTTTTTTGTGAAAGACCTTCCTTAATGTGGCAAAAATATAAAAGTCATCCATGAACAGACTTATAGATGTAAGTATACAAAAATTTAAAGCTCTTCAGTTTCTATATTCTCTCAATGGATTTTAATCAAGTGTGTTTCATTTTGTAGAATCCCTGTAGTCTCTGAATACAGGCTCAACAAAGTGTATCTGACTATTCTTATGCATCCTCACAACTAACAGAAAAGGTAAAAAGTAAAAATAAGGAAGAAAATATAAACAGCTGGGTGTGGTGGTGCATGCCTAGAATCCCAGCACTCACAAAGCTGAGGCATAAAAGAGTAAAAAGAAAATCCACAAACTGGGAAAAAATTATAGCTGACTGTCCCTCCAACAAAGGCCTTCTGTCTAGAACATATAAAGATTTTAAAAAATCAGGTCCTGTAAGTTCAAAGACCCATAAAAAAAATGGGCATCTGAGATGAACATACACAATTCAGATGAAGATGGTGCACACCTATAATCCCATTGCGTGGGAGGCTGAAAACAGGAGGATCACTACGAGTTGGATCTATGTAGAGAGACCCTGTAGACCCTGTACTAAATACAAAAAAAAAAAAAAAAAAAAAAAAAAAAAAAAAAAAAAAAAAAAAACAGCACAACGCTTTAAAAAGCCTACATATACTATTTTCACGAAACAGGCAAAATGGGTGAGTTTGGACCTAAGATGCAATAAATCATTAACTGGCACACTTATACCACTTCTGTGTATTTGAAAATTTAAAAGAAAACCCATTCATGAAAGAATTGTCTTTAGGGGTTGGGGGAGGTGAGAACAGGGATTGACTGCTGGGTATCCTTAGAAAGGAGAGAAAGAGACACCAAGAATGCACAGAAAAGAGGCCAAGTGAGGACACGGTGGGAAAGGACAGAGGCCTCACTAGAAAGCAATCCCGCCAGTGTGTTATTCTTGGATTTTCAGCCTCCAAAACTTGCAGAAAATAAATATTTGCTGTCTGTCATCCATCCTGTGATATTTTTGCTCTGCTATCCCTAGCAAAGTCACATATTAGAACCAATCACCTGGGGAGCAAGTATAAGAATAGAGGTATTGGCTGGGGATCTTCAGAAGTGCTGATGTTTAGTGGCCAAACAGGACAAGAGAAAACAGCAAACAAAGCCAAAAGCTTCATGGGAAACTTTTTTGCTTATGACAGAAAGAGACATAAAAGCTAAGAGCAGAAAGTGTTTTACTAGAGGAAGGACAGCTGAGCCGAATGTTGGGCTAGATAGGGACGTTGGTGACACAAGAGCTGACAGCGGCAGCCAGAGCTATTTCTGCGCTGTGGATGATAAGATGTACTCAAAACAAAGTTACCAATAAAGCCAAAACCAATCTGAGAAAAAACTATTATTTATATATTTAACAGATAATATAGATAACATTAAAAGCTCTTCCATAATTTAATAAAAGAATGAGGGGGAAATGGGCAAAGGATACAACAAAGAAAATCTTAGGAAATTTGTGGTGCTCACACTCAGAAATGTCATACGTAGTGTCCTTGACTCACTGAAGCATTAACAACCACTGTATCTTGCCCTTAGATTGTGAAATAATTAAACACTTCATAGCATCCAGAGTATGCAACGATACTCTCACATTATTGCTAAGATCTTTATCAAAGACAGTTTAACGTTACCTATTAAAATAAAATTGCTTGTGCCTTAAAATTGCTTCTCCATTAATTTTACTTCAAGAATGTTTTGCAGAAACATATAAGTAATAAGCCTGTATCTTCTTAAGCTAATCTAAGATACTATTAAAAGATGCAGTCCTGCTTCTGAGATATTAAAATGTGAAAATGAGCACATTCTAGTATTGATGAGACATAGTATTATAAATATGTTAATTGCAACATTGTTTAAAAATTTGAAAGTGATTGGCAAAATGGTGAATTTTAAGCTTGCATTAAAATAAAAAGGTAATCTAAGTGTACTTGAAATATGGTCACCACTGTTACCAAAAAAATGAATTTGAAGAATATAATGTGATAATTCTGTAGGACAAAAACTCATGAATGTATATATTTATAGCTTAATGAGAAATATGCTAGTAGAGGAAACACCAAACAGTTATAAATTCTTGGGAAGGACTGGCATGAGGGGAAAAATAGACTTTCTTTTGCTTTATGTTTATGTGGTTTTCTATTTTTAACAAAGACAAACTTGTTTTTGAAAAACAAATTTCTATTTATATTTTAGCCTTAATAACTTGACTTAGGTGAATTTAATTATGTGGAAAGAAGTTAATAAAAGGGTTACATCTACCTAACCATTGTGGAATTAGAGTATTTCATGTCCAGCAACAAGCCTTGTAAAAGTATAGCTTTTGCTTTGATGTTTATCTCTGAATGAATTCAGGTATAGTTATGTTCTATGACTTGTAGAATCTTAAGAGTGAGAATTACTTTACACAGGATACTGCAGCAATGAGGTGGAGAATAAGGGTGTTATTTAAAGTTAGAATTGTAGAATTTGGAAAATGCATGGACATTTCATGTAGAATTAAACATGCAACTGTCATCCTTGAGTTGCAGAAATAGAATGCTTGAAATATGATTTCGTATGTCCATGGAGTGCAGGCGCTGTACCCGCCGAGATGGCTGTGACCATGCACTTGTCAGCTACAGCGAGCAATGAACAGGGCAGATCAATCTTTAATCGTAACCAGGTGGGAAATTAGTAACGGGAAGTAATAAGTCCTATCATTAAAAAAAAAAAAACCTCAACAGTTTTGTCACAACAAATGTCAAGAATGACTACTTCCATCTTAGCTTAAGTTAGATACCAACATCTTCTTAAGTGGGAATGACTAAACTATTATAAACTATGTGATGAACAGCACTCTATACAGTATTTTTACTCTTAAACTTCCATTACTTTATGCAGGTCTAAATTCTTTTTACAAACTGTCTTTCCCCGCAGTCACCCTAAAGATCAAAGCATTATAAAAATGGGGAATAAAACGCCTTACTAATTCTAGCCTTTAAAGACACTCTTTCTAAATCTGTAAGATTTTAGAAAACAAGGTACAAGGTGACAAAATTACTAAAGGAAGATTTCAAAAGTATAGTTAACGAACTGTAAAAAGTATTTGCAGGTTAGATGAGTTTTGAATATGAAATGGTTATTAGGTGGTATTGAAGAATTGTTAGTTTTATTAGGACAATAAGAGTCTGCTTATGTTAGAAAATATTAACTTTTAGCAATGTATGCATAAGTATTTAGGGATGAAATATCATGTTTCTGATGTACTTTAAAATTCAAGAGGTAATCAAAATATATGCTTAATTTATTATAGTAAAATAATTGCCATTAATCTGTCTCAAAATACTTCCCCCACTTCAAATATATTTATCCTATCATTCTTGCCGTTTTCTGAAGCAGTCCCAGAAGTTTAGTATTATGGTTTGTGTCTAGTTGTCCCCCCAAAGCCTCATGCAGTCATAGGGTGGGGACATCTAGTTTGTGATTAACTCATGATCCATTGGGATTCTGGGTGATCCAAGGCTGGGATTATGGGCTTTAGTACTGCTGGGATTACGGGTGTGTGTACTTCCCCCAGCCTGGGGCAGAGCCGGAAGGCAATATAAGAGTCAGAGACAGACTTTCTCTCTCTGTTGCCATTGTTGTTGTTCTGCCACCATGAAAGTTGTTCTGTGCCCTGTGCCACTCTGCCTTGGAGCCAGCCGAGTATGGACTGAAACCTCCAGTAACTGTGAGCTAAATAAGCCTTTCCTTCCTTCATTTTGGGTGTCCGGGACAAGGTATTTGTGACAGCAACGAGTGAACAGTAGCTGAGATATTCAATTTGGTGAATGTCCTTAGAAGGTTTGATCATAAATCCTGTGAACGCTGTTGCCAAGAGCCATGATCTGGCGCTGGGATTTTTGACGGTTTTCGAAGTTGAGATGACCATGAAGCTGTTCAGGTCATCAAGGCAGCCGCACATCACAGCTAAGAACAGAAAAGGCTCCCAGAGCTGCAGCAAGAAGTGCTAAGACCCAGGATCCACGTGTCTGAAGCGAGAGGGGAGTATTTCGAGAAGGATTAATGGCAACGTGTCATTTACTGTAGTATTTTAATTTAAACATTTACTGTAGCTTTCGATCACACCTTATATACCAGTAAAAGATAGCGATTAAGCTACCATGTCAAAATAGGAATGTTAAATCAAGGTGCTATATACACATTTTCTTCATACATTGTTTCCTATTCTTATGGACATTTAAATTATAGAGCAGTTGTAGACAGTTGTTAATTAGATATGGAAAATCAATTCCAGCTCACAATGCTTAGTCACTTCACTTCAGGGAGATTCAATTTATCTAGAAAAAATAGATGGGTTATTTTTGTCCTTTCTGGTCCCGACATGCTATAGAACAGACTAACCCAGATGCCGACTGAGGCCAAGCAGGTAATTTCAATCGAGTGAACGGGCGCGGCGCTCGCTGCTCTAAAGGGGGCGCCCATCTGGCTGAATACTGTCTTCAGATAACGTGGGTTCTGTCACCCCGCCTTTTCCGAGACGAGGGAAAATGTTTCTATGTGAACGTCCACATCCTTAAATGTTAGCCAAGGACCCTCAGCCCGAAGTTCCGAGGCCGGCCGGGGTACCCCTGGACGGAGCTCCACCTGGAAAGTAGCGCGTTTATGGCCCTGCGGGGACAGCAGCGCCACAAGCGCATCCCGGACCCGGGGCCGCCGCCGGCAAGGGACCACGGACTCTACACCCCCTGGGGGAGCTGGAGAGCAACTCGAGCCACTTTTAGACTCAAAGTTCACCCCCAGAACTTCGGCTCCCCAAGCTGCCACCAGCCCAGCTGTTCGAACGAGCTCCCTCCAGCCGGAAGCGGGGAACCCCAACCGGAAGTCCCGCCTACTTGCCCGAGCGCTTCCTGTTTGGTAACTAAGGACGCGAAGCGGTTGCTAGGGCTCTGGTGGAAACTTTGCGGGTGCCTCCACCAGCCTCGGGTGTCCCCCACCAGACGAGAAGGCGGCTTTCGTTCCGCTCTCCCTCCGGCGCTCTGCACCCGTTTGCCATGAGCAGCGAGTTCCTGGCCGAGCTGCACTGGGAGAATGGCTTTGCCCTCCCGGTGGCGAACGAATGCAACAAAAAGCTGGAAGATCAGGTAAAAAAGACCTGAGGAGGAAGAGAGGATCTGCTGAAGGTGTTTTCAGGCTGGCAGCCCCACCCCTGCCCTTTTATTTCTGTCCTTCCCTCACCTCATCCTTTATTTAAGGCTTCCTGAGCCAAATCCTTACCCTGCCCGCCCCTTTGGGCAATTGTCAAGCATTTAAAAAATTTATTGTAACAGTCGTTGATATTCAGAGTTATAAAATCTGGACCCTTATTCTCTTCTTTTTACTTGTTCCACTTACTCCCCTCTAGCCACCTGGTCTGGAGAGGAAAGGCTATCGTGTTTGCTTTTTTTTTTTTTTTTTTTTTATTAAGCACATTTGAAAAGGGATTTTGGCAGTTTGTGAGCAACAGGTATTTGCTTGTATTTATAAGTGAAACACGTACTAGTTGATATTTTTTGGTGAGTTTCTGAAAGCTCAAAGTGACTTGATATGATTTTCAGAGGGTCATTCAAGCAAGAATATAAACTGCAGTTTAGAACCTTCTGAGTGAGGATCAAGTTGTCATAGATTGACAAAATATTTTGTGTTGTAAGGACATAATTACATGAGCTACAGTTCATGGCACTTGGATTTTACCATGAGAACTGACCATTCAGTTCAACGTACAACACTGTAAGGCTTCTCAAGTCTGCATTTTACAACTTGTTCATACTTATCCAGCACACTTGTTCCAAGGTGATCTAGTCATAGGCATAGTCAGAGCAAAGGCTCTCCTTTTTGGTGCCAACTCTGCCTTCCTAGTACGCTCTTGTTCACACAAGGCATCTTGTGATTTACTTAAGGAAAAGAATCTCATTTTTCCCTGTGAAAGTATAGTACCGTATGAAAAAATGTATTTTAGCAGTGGATCCTGCTAAGGCTGCATTCCAAGAGTGCATTCTGTTTTGCATTACTTTCTCATAGTATTCTCCAACTGATAACACTGCTTTACATTGAAAGGATAGTTTTTTGAAGTTCCTGTGGACATTTAAATAAGCACAGTCAGATAATGGAATGTTTATGTCCTTTCTGAACTCATAGGGCAAAGTCGTAATCACCAGGGTGATGATTCTGGAGGTGATGACTTTGGGATGTAATTAAGGAATTAGGTAATGGGAGTCAAGCCCTTCCAAATGAGCACATTTGCTAAGAAACAAATGATTTTTTCTGTCATGAGGGCAGCTGTCTGCAAACTAGGAAGAAGGCCTGACCAGAAACCAGGGCTTTGGACACTTGGATCTTGAAATCCTTAGTCCTTAAAATTGTGACAAATAAATTTCTGTTCTTTAAGTCACCAAGTCTGTGGTATTTTTGTTACAATATCTTTTATTAT